TTKGKTTTTTTKGGGKTTTTTTTTTGGTTTTTTTTTGGACATAAAAAAAAACAAAAAAGGGAAAAAAAAACATAAAAAAAAGAAAAAAACAAACAAAACAAAGAATTTGTAAAAGCCTGAGGATTTAAAAAAAATATTTAATTTAAAAACAAACAAACAAAAAAAAAAGGTAAACTTGCAATAATGATAAAAAGTGTACTTCTGAAGAGGGGAAAAACGAGACAAAAAATGAGGGAAAACGACGGAAAATGAGTTTTTTTTTGTTTTGGGGGTTGGTGTTTCTGCTCTTTATCCGCCGGAATGAGATATTCCCAAAATATTCCTGAAACCAGCAAAAATGTCCCGACGAAATGAAACGGAAAAAAAAATAGAACCTGAGAATTTTAGCCATTCCTTAGGGTAGGAGAAACAGATGGATCTTATAGACCTATGACAAATATATATATATAAATATATATATAAATCTATATGAGAAATTTAGTGGAGATGATGGGTAAGGTTTTGTTCCTTCGGTTCCGACTTTTTTATTTTGGCTCCTGTAAAAAAAAAAGGAAAAAAAAAAGGAAAAAACCACAACAAAATGACAAAAAAAAAGAATAGGATTAACTTTTTTAAGAAAAAAAAAGACAAAAAGAGAGCTTTTCCTGTAAATACGGAATTTTTCAAGGGGGGACTTCTCCCCCTTCTTTTCCTTGTTTGTTTTTTTTTTTATTATTGTTATTTTTGGGTTTTCCCCGTTTTCCTGGAGCCTGGAGTGCCGACTCCACGCCAAGCGGGTGGAACCACCGGCCCCGCCGTTGCTTCTCATCCATAACAAATTTCCTGGGATTTTAGGGGGCAGAGGGTGGGGGTGGGAGATTTAAAAATACAAACAAAAAAACAAACAAAAAAAAGTCGGATTTGGGCCCCGTTTTTTCCCGGGATTTTCCGAGGTGCAAGGTTAGGATGCTACAATGTTACCACTGTGCCTTCCAATGTTTCTCCATCGGCAAAACATCCCATCCTCCGAGTGGCTGATTCTGCGTTCCCTCTTTGTGTAGCGATTCCAGGGGCTGGGAGGGGGAGGGGAGGGAGGGGGGAATTCCAAGGAGTGGGATGGATCGACTCCATGTGCGGACTTTTCCCCCCCCCGTCGTTTTCCTCGTTTCCGAGTGGATTTTTTCCCCCCGAGCGCCTCATTTTTGTTGGTTTTTTTTTTTTTTTTTCCGTGGGAAATGCCAATTTTTTGGGTCCTAACGAGCCTTATGAGTCCTAAAGCATTAAGTTGCACTTTGTCCAGGAGGGGGTTGATTCCCGGAATTCTCTGGCCAGTACAAAGGAAGTTTTTCCCGACCACGCCGCCGGTGGCACCGCAGCTCCGAAGTCTCGGCACAACCCGACTTCCAGAGTGACTCCCAATCCTGAGTGACTTTGGTGTACAGAACCACACCAGTGCTCATTAAATATTTATCAGCATCCCTTTCCGTCTCCAATCCCATTTTTTTCCCAGCCCGGCGTGGCTTCCCAATCCAACCCCCCCTCCCCCTTTGTCCGAGTCAAATTCCCGCTGAATAAACGCCATAAATCCATCCCCGAAACGGTCTAAACGTTCCATCTGTTCTCCTGGTTTGCCAGTTTTCCAGAGGCCTGGGAACAAAAACAAACCAACCAACCACAGACAAAAAGAGAGACGTTTGTACATTTTATGCAACAAAACCCGGCCCGGCCGGATCGTTATTTTGGAATTGTGTATGTAAAAGTTCTATTTTTCCATGTAGATTCTCGTTATTCCGTGTTTTCCTACATTGTGTCGGGGTCGGGGCATCGTGGTGGGTTTTTTTTTTTCCAGTGGATTGAATTCTGGGTGGTTGAACGAACAAAAAAGAATCCCATGGAGTGTCCTTGAAGGGAAAGAAAGAAACCGAATTTTCCTGCAAAAAACCGAGAAGAACAAACCCAATTCCCCACGTGCTCCCGGAGAATCCATTCAGGAAACCTCCCGGCTTTTGGGGTGTTGATAAGTTGCCAAAATGTGGAGGTGGAGTCAACTGGGAAAAACCAAGCCTGGGCTTAAATCCAGGCAGGAATAAGGCTGGACTTGGAGCTGGGCTTAGCTGAGGGAGGGTGAGAATTCTGGAATTCTGGAGCTGGGAAGAGCGTGATGCCAAGGAACACGAGCCATAAATCCCATTTCCCAGGAGGTCTCAGCCCTGTTGGATCATGTTGGATTGGGGTGTCCAAGTGGGTCACTCTGCCAGGATCAGGATTGGGATCAGCAGGAAATTGAGATTTCAAGGATTGAAATGCTGGAAAACCCCAACTTGATGTTTATTAAACCCAATTTGTGGATGGAAAAGAAATGAGGAATTTCGGGAAAAGAAATGAGGAATTTCATCCCTGGAACTGGAAAAAAGCCAGGGAAAGGTTTCCTTGTTCCATCCATCCGAGATGCTCCCTCAGCCAGCCTAGATGGAAGAGCTGAAGATCCCGCTCCGGATGAGCCAAGATTTAACAAAACCACCCCCCTTGAGTGTCTGATCCATGATTTTTCCATTTTTTCCCAGTCCAGGGAAGGCCTGCGCGTTGTTCTCCGAAGCCATGGAGGTTTTTATTCCCCATGGGAATAAAACCAGGCTGAAAACTCCCTGGGAAAAGGCAAAATCCTGATTTTTTTAGCAGCTTTTTCCCGCCTGGATCCACCTCCACATGGCAGGAATTTATGGATCTGCTGGATTGGGAATGTTCAGCTGGAGCTGCATTGAGCTGCAAGGACGCTCCAAGTGCCAGCAAGGCAACTTGTAGTGATTCAGTCTTCCGAGGTTTTTTGGGATTGTTTTCCAGGATTTTGGGGGGCTAGGAGGGAGGGAAGGTGTCGGAAAGGGTGGTCAGGGAGAACTTATCCATATCCAGACTCCAACAATCCCGAGCAGTGCCAGGAATGAGGAGATTTCAATGGAAAGAAGCACAAACTCCCGAGGGAAAAAA